AATGTCTTAATATTTTCTCCAAATTACCTGATTGTATAACACATCTATAATACATAACATATATCAAATACATGCTCATCGACTATATTATTAATAAAAACTTCAAGTAAACAACAATCTATTAAGTTTTAGGGAATCAAAGGTTATACTTGGGTGTTTGGACCTCCCTAGTAGCCTAGGGGGTAAGTCCCAGTGCCTCACCCTGTGCCCTGAGTTCAGTCCCTGGCCAGGGCACAGCAGATGCCTCCTGCTGCTTCCCTCAGCAGTGTATTTCAGTAAGTACACCTGTACTGCTCCCCACTCTGTCTCTCTCTCTCCTAATTTACCACTAGCGGCATTTGGTGTATTCAGTGTTGTACAACCACCACCTCTACCTATTCCAGAACATTCCATCACCTTTAAAGAAAACTCCACCCACTACTAGCCTCCTGTCTCCTTTCCCCAGCCCTCGGCACCATGAATTCTGTGTCCACAGATTTGTGTGTTGTCCACTTTACATCGAGGGATTCATGCACCGTGTGGCGGAATGGTCACTTTTCAATGACCTTGGCCCTGAGTGCTGTCTGGGGGCTGGGGAGGCGGCATGTGGAGCCTCTGTGCCGGGTGAGTCAACCCAGAAGGCCTCCAGGGCGCCCGGCCAGGGCCTCTGCGTGAGCCTGTCACTGTCCCTCTGGCCCAGGTCACGTGCCCACAGGAAGCTCCTGGAAATTCTCACTCCGAAACTGGGACAGAGGTCAGGCCCTAGAGCTGGGGTTTCCCTCCTGCCTGCTGGGGGCCTGGTGGAACTAAGGGGTCACAGACCCAGCCATGTTGCCAGATGAGAAAACTGAGGCTCAGAGAGGACCAGAGCAGGAGGGGGCTGGACTTAAGGGGGGGTCAGGAGGAGAATTGGGGGCCAGCCTGGAAAGCTGTTGAGGCCACCTGTACCCTCTGCCTCTGGGGAACCCCTGCAGACTGTGTCACTATCCACACCCCACCCCCCCACCCCCAGACCTCTCCTGTACTGCATCAGCTCTCTATTCATGTTGGTTTCCCAGTAACAACCTGCATCTTCAGGTGTTTTCCAGGAGTTTCCTTCATTAACATAAAAGACACCTTTATCACTCTGGACACTGAGGTGATTTCAAGGCTCTGGGGGAGCTGTGAGCCCAGAACTGTGATGAAGACCAAATAAGTGTGAGAGAAATATTTTGGTCATCTGAATGACCAAAATATATATTTCTTGTGAATCACAATATTGTGTCCATGTTGTTTTCAACAGTTTTCAAGGATGATTCCTGCAGAGAAAAGAGGCCTCCAAGCAAAATACGGCATGGACGGGCAGGACAAAACCCTGAAACGGGACAGCAGCAGGCTGGGCAAGAACAAAATAGGTCAGAGCTGAGCATCCTCCTTCTCCCCCTTGCTCCCCGTCTCCTTTCATAAAACCTCTTGGGGCTGGGGGGCCAGTAGAGAGCCCTCTCTGCCTGTGGTTGGGACTAGCGACCTCCCTAGGTAGCTGGGGCAGGTGGCTTGAGCCATGCCTCTTCTGGGCATTTCTCACGTGGTCTTGCGTGTCTGGCTTCTCTCCCTGAGCATTTTTTGTTCAAGGTCCCCCCGTGTGGTGGTGAGTCTCAAAGCTGTCCTCCTTTTCATGGGTGAATAATATTCCAGTGTGGCATGGACCTTATTTTTGTTTACTCTTTCATCTTTTGGTAGACATTAGCTTGTTTCAACTTCTCAGCTTCTCTGAAACATGCAGTTACAAACATTTGTGTGCAAGTTTCTATAGGAATATGTTTTCATTTCTCTTGGCTAGATATCCAGAGACCGAGTTGCTGGATCATATGGTAATTCTGTTTAACTTTTTGAGAAATAGTCAAACTGTTTTCCACAGAGGCTGCACCATTTTACATTCCCATCAGCAATGTACAGGAATTTCACTCCCCCCACCTTCGTCAACAATTGTAATTGTCTTATTATTTATCTTATACTTATAACATATTTTCCTTACTGTAGCCACCCTGTTACAGTCAGAGCTGTGTATGAGGTGATATTTCTTTGTGGCTTTCACTTGTATTTCCCTGGTGGTTAGTGATACTATCTTTCCATGTCTTTAGAAAAATGTCTAATCAGGTTCTTCACCCACTTTTTATTATTTTATTAACAAAGTGGGCCCTTTTTGTAATAGGGTAGATGCTTTGCCGTCGAGTCATAGACATTCTTCATGTATTCTGAACATCAAACCCTTTCCAGACCCTTGGCTAATATGAGATAAATGGCAAATATTTTCTTTTATCCCCTGGTTTGCCTTTTCACTTTCTTAGTAATATCCATCCATCCACAAAATGATTAGATTTTTGTCAAGATCACTCCCTAAATTTTCATTTTAAAAACTATTGTTATTTTTCATAAACTACATATTTATGTTACCATGTCATGGTTGATGGTTACCATTTTTAATGTCAATAAATGTTCTTCAATGTAAGGCTTTAATTTATGAGGTAAATCGCACAGCTGACCATACTCCATGTAAACAAAAGCTCGTCAGAGTCATGGTTGATGGTTACCATTTTTAATGTCAATAAATGTTCTTCAATGTAAGGCTTTAATTTATGAGGTAAATCGCACAGCTGACCATACTCCATGTAAACAAAAGCTCGTCAGAGTCCTCAATCCCGAAAACCAAAAGTTTGGGGTGGGTGTGGGAGGGCCTCTCACCGTCTGATTGTGGGCTCCAGCAGGTGGCTGCTGGACTCGGCCAAGGTCATGGTCCCTCAGCGGGGGGTACAGAGCAGGGAAGACAGGTCATGCCCACCCCACCCCCCAGGCAGCTGTGCCACCGCCGAGGGTACATCAAGTGACCCACCTGAACACTTGATGAAGGATGAAGGGCCTCGTGTCACGCAGAGGTTTATCTGACCCGTCCCAGGCGTCAGAGCAAAGCTATTTTGAGATTCACCGCTGCAGACCTTAAGCCCCTTTTGGCCGCGACCCCCTGGAAGGGGAAATTTTCCCAGCTCGTAGCCTCTGGGACCAGGCGTTGATGAGTCGATGGTAGCGGCAGGGGGGAGAGAGGGGGCCGCCTTAAAGTTGGGGTCAAGGCAGGGGACAGGGCCGAGTGGGATATTTTTAGGGAGAGAAGAGGTGGGGCCAGTTATCTCTGGCTGGGGGTGGGGAGACGAGGGAGGAGAAGTTAGGGGGGAGAGAGAAGGGGTGAGGAGAGAGCCAGAGGAGGGGAGAGGCAGCTGGGGTGACATCTACCCGCACCCCGCCCCTCCTGGCCGACCCGTGACTAATTTAGGCAAACGGCGACGGCGACGTAGCGGAGCTATTTCCATCCGGTGGGAACAGGTGCGGCGCCCCCGCGCCCCCTCCCTGCGGGCTGCTCCCCATAGGCCGCAGGCCACCTGAGCCGCCCCTGGGTGGCCTCCGCCGCCCCGCGGCCTATAAAGGCGCGGGGTCTGCTCAATGAAGCCGGGACGCGCGCCGGGGCGCACTGCAGGCTCGGGCCCAGCCAGGTGCCGGGATCGGCCGACCGAGCGCGGTGCCCGCCGCCCCTCCGTGCGGAGATGAAGTGCATAGTGGGCATCGGAGGGTGAGCGCCGGGCAGGCGGCCGCGCCGGGGAAGGCGCAGAGGAGCGCGAGGGGGAATGGGGGGGAACGGGGTGGGGGACCCGGGCGCCCGGTGCGGAGGAGGCGCACGGGGAGTGAACCGAGGGCTGCGGGCGCCTGGAGTCCCCGCCGCCGCCCGAGGTCCGAACGCCTGGAGGATTTCGGCTCCCGGGGCTAGGCTGCCCGCCCGGGAGAGGGTGCAGGCGCGGAGCCCCGGTCCAGTCCCCACAGGAAATCAGTTTTCCCCAGTGGTACTCAGGGTCGGGACTATGCAAAGCTCTGGGAGCCGCTCCAACCCCGGGCGGTCCTCAGGGGCCGGGGAGGTGTGGCAGTGGGGGACCTCACCCGCCACCCTTTGGGGGTGGGGGTAACGACGTCCCCACTCTGGGCGCACACGCGGGCGGGAGTGGGGGGCGGGTCCCAGGAAGACAGCCCACGTGACCGCGGGTGCCGGCTCCGGGTTCCTCGGAGAGGCGAGCCCGCACGAGCGATCGGAAACCCTTTCAAACGGCCGGAAGGCACTTCGAAGGAGCAGAGCGCTGGCCCGCTCCAGCGGGCGGCCGCCCAGGTCCGGCCTGCCCCCGGCGCTCTCTAGCAACTTCCGACGCATTTGGAGGCGGGCGGCGCTGTGGCGGGCAGGGGGCTGCAAATTCTAAGGCGAACTACCAACACAAGATGTGTCTTTTAGTAGCCCAAATTAATGTGAGGTGCGCTCTAATCCCCAACATATGGGAGGTCTCCTTTTCAATGGCTGCAATTTCCCCTGTTTGCACCAGGGAGCCATAGGACAGGGAGAGCCCTGTCAAGGAACACGCCTTTCCAGAAAAGTCCTGCCGGCTCCCTAGCTGACCCCCTGGGCCCAGGAGTCGAGAGCCCTGGCCCCAGGGTGACCCACCGCCCTGGTCTTCCTGAATTCCAAGGATGTTCACTGCTCAAGGCAGGGGGGCCTGCAGTCACGCCACCTTGCCAATCATATTCCCCCCCCCCTTTCTTTTTCCATCTTGGGACATCTTTTTTCATGAGGTCATTTCTTCCCTGTCTCCCTCCCGCTCCCAAGCTCAGAGCCCTGGGATGGAAGGGGGCATGTTATCTGCTCTGTAAATGTCCGTAACTTGCTTTACTCCACCTAATCCCCCCCAAATCCTCCCCATTTTGCGCTGTACTTCATCTTCCTTTATGGCTGAATAGTGCAGCGAGACCACATCTTAACACATACATGTTTTAGCATTTTTGCTTTTCTTTTTTTAAGCCTTGTTGAGATTCATGCTTGGCGCTCCTGTCTCTAACCACTGTGAAACGAGTGTAAACTACAGCAGGGCGCCCGTTCACTCACTGGGGCTAACCGCTGTTGTCTTCATTCCATTTCATGTGTTTAACCTTCCCTCTGCTCAAAAGGCTCCTCTGACTCTCAGCAGGGGCGGGGCGGGGGTGGCGGAGAACGCCCCGTCTGCTCAGTGGTTTTAGGGTTTGGTGTTTGACATCAGAGTCCGAGTCCGGGGGGCGCGTTGGCAGGGAGGCTCCTCTGTTTCAGGGTGGGGGACCCTGGCAGCATCTTCAGGGATTTGCTCTCCCCGTAGCGTCACCAATGGCGGCAAGACCACGCTGACCAACAGCCTGCTCAAGTCGCTGCCCAACTGCTCTGTGATTCACCAGGATGATTTTTTCAAGGTGGCTCCACTCACCCAGAGCTGGGGGTGGGGTTGGCCCCTTGAGAAAGGAGCCAGGTCCAGTCCCTCCCACCCCTACTGCCCACGGGTGGGTTCGGACCTTCACCGTCCTGCCAGAGCTAACCTGAGACAGGAGGGAAAGGGAGCTCCCAGAGGGGGTGGGAATCTCACCCCAAGTACCTTTCACCCCTCTCTGTACCCCCACTTTGCCATCAACGCAGTGCTTTGTGGAAGGTGAAGGGTAACAAGATGGGGATACAAGGCCCCTCCGTCCTGGCCTCATGAGTCTCTGGAGTGCCCCCACCCACCCAGGACCTCAGAGCCTGTGGGCATCCACAGCAGGGAGAGTGGTTCCCAGCGGCCCATGGGAACCCTGTCACCTCAGGGTGGGGGTGAGGCGGGAAGGAGGGCACTGAACCTAGGGCTTGGGCTCCTCTGTTTCAGCCCCAAGACCAAATAGCAGTTGGGGAGGACGGCTTCAAACAGTGGGACGGTAAGGACAGGCGGTGGCCGGCGCCCCTCCCGCGGCGGGCCCTGCCCGGCCCTCTTGGACCCCGGCTCTCGTCCCCAGTGCTGGAGTCCCTGGACATGGAAGCCATGCTGAGCACCGTGCAGGCCTGGGGGAGCAACCCCCAGAAGTTCGCCCGCGCCCACGGGGTCGGCGTCCAGACGGAGGCTTCGGACACCCACATCCTCATCTTGGAAGGCTTCCTGCTCTACAGCTACAAGTGAGGCCCAGACCTTCTGGCCCCAGGAAACTGCTGAGCCTCAGTTTCCCCAGACGGGAGAAGGAGACCAGGGGCCAGGGAGTGGAGGGCAGGAGTGGGCTCAAGGGCGTGGGGCAAGTAAGCTCATTTCTTGAGGAAACTGAGTTTGTGTAGACCCTCAACTTTCTCAAGCAGAGCTTAGGTCTCCAGACTGCCAGCCTTGCTGTGTGACCTTGGGCTACCCGTTGCACTCTCTGGGCTGTCTGAATTAGGACTGCTGTGGGTAGCTGCTGGGGCACGGGTCAGATAGCAAATGCTAGCTCCCTCCCTGACCCCTGAAAGTTACCACCCCCAAGCCAGGGGTGTTGTGGGGTGTGACTCTGTGGGGGCTGACTGTGTGTCCCGCCCCAACCAGGCCCCTCCTGGACTTGTACAGCCGACGGTACTTCCTGACCGTGCCATACGAAGAGAGCAAGTGGAGGAGAAGGTGTGAGGCTCGGCCTGCCCGAGGCCTGTCTGGCCTCCAGGGGGGAGCGGCTGCAGGCCCACGAGCAGCAGGCAGGCAGCTGGCGGGACTGTTCCAGAAGCCCGCAGTCCAGCGCCGGCATCTTCCAGGTCCACGGAACGCTGGGAGTCGGGACAGCCACACCTCAGCTGGGGCCCCCCTTCTCCGTGATCCCTGACCTCACCTACCTCCGCAGTCTCTGCCAAGCGTGCCATCTTTGGGCAACGTGGTGTCACTCATTCCTGTCTTCTCCCCCCTAGTACTAGAAGCTATAAAGTCCCCGACCCCCCTGGCATCTTCGATGGCCACGTGTGGCCCATGTACCAGAAGTATAAGCAGGAGATGGAGGCCAACAATGTGGAAGTGGGTAAGCCCCTGAACGAGCCACACCTGGCCCCTCCCATTTGGGAAGCTCGTCAGTCCCTCCTCAAGTCTCACCTCCAGCCCCTCTTGCTTTTGGCCCTGGAGGCTTCTCTGTTGAAGCAGCTCAACAATGCAGACCACTGCCTCCTGGTCTGCCATCTACCTTTGTGCTTCCCATCTGTCTCCCGGCCACAGCTCCGTTCTCCTGTGCCCCAGCCATGGCCTCTCTCTTGCAGTGTACCTGGATGGCACCAAGTCCCGCGAGGAGCTCTTCTACCAAGTCCTGGAAGACATTCAGAACTTGCTCCTGAATCACTCCTAGGTGTGACTGGGGCACAAAGGCCCAGCCCCAGTTGCAGGAATCCACAGAAGAACCATGCACAAACCCAGCTGCAAGAATGCCAGGTCTGTGGCTTCCCGGCCAGATCGTTTCCCTTTGGGAAATCTGTACATATGCAAGTGAGCCCCACTCACAGCTCACAGTCTTGGCACTCTGGGATCCAGCCCAAGATGCCTTTGTGACCTCACAGAGGTTTAGGTATTAAATCTAGTCCTATTTTTTTTAACAACTGTGGTCCTGCCTGTTGTTTGAATCACAGAGAAGTTCCGGCCTGTCCCCTAACTGAAGTGCAGGGAGGTGGAAGGATGGGGTGGTGCCTGACCTGAGGGTGACGCCCTATGGCCAGCCATGGAATTGCAGCCACCGGCTCCTCTCCATCCAAAAAGGCAGGGAAAAGCTGCAGTTAAAACAGATTTGGAAAAAAAAAAAAAAAAACAGATTTGGATAAAGCCAGTGAAACGATGGGGGTCTGGGAGAAGGAAAGAAAGAACAATTTACCATATGGCCCAGCAATTCCACTCCTGGGGTGGACCCAAAAGAATTGAGAGTGGTTGTTCAAACAAAAACCCGCATATGTTGTTCACAACAGCACTGTTTGTAATGATTAAAAGGTGGAAACCACCCAAATATCCATCAGTGAATGACTAGATAAACAAAATGTGGTCTACCCAAACAGTGGAATATTATTCACTCGTGAAAAGGAGCAGCTCTGCGCTCGCTACCACAGGGAAGGACCTGGAACATGTGATACTCAGGGAGAGAAGCCAGACACACAAGGTCACAGAAGGTGACCTACTGGTGTGAATGTCCAGAACAGGCACAGCCTGAGAGACAGGAAATAGATTCAGGGTTGCCAAGGGACAGGGAGTGACGGCTAATGGGAACAGGATTTCCTCCTTGAGTGATGAAAACATTTTTGAGATTGATAGAGGTGAAGACTGCACAACACTGTGAGTATGTGAAATGTCACCGAATTGCTCCCTTAGAATCAGTTGGTTTATGTGAATTTCTCCCCAATAAAAAGAGAAGAGTGATGGCACAAGGGTGACTTGGTGATAGGAAACCCACGGGGATGACAATTGAGATGAAAAAAAATGTACGAAATGATGTAAAAATAAACTATTATTAAACAAAAAAAGAGAGAGAGAGAGAGAAGAGGGGAGAGGACTAGATCAGGCCTGGGAACTTGTCCTCTAAGAAGGATACCACAGAAGGAAGGTTAAAAGACCCCCCAGGTGATAGGCTTGAGAACCTGATGCAAGTTCTGGGTCTCTCACAGCTCAGGAACCTGTGAGCTTGTGTAACTGAGTCTGTGAAATCTTCTCTCTTCAAATAAAAAAGACACTGGCATGAATTATAATTCCCCCCCCCCCAATGCTCATGATGCCCAGCTCCTCAGAGCAGGACTGAGAGATTAAAGACGTGCTCCAGTCAGTGGGATGGTGAAGGGGGGCCTTAATTCAGCAGGACTCTCCATAGAAGAGGAGGCTCCCAGTACCTGGGGGCAGGCCCGTGGGCACGGGGGGCCGGACAGGACACGGAGCCGAGGCTGCTGTGAGCAAGTCAGGAAGAGAAGTCTCGTGAGCTAGCAGCCCCACAAATCCACAGGGACGGTGGGGGGGAGGGGAGCGGTGGGGGTGACCGCCGGTGGAGGCAAGATTTCTTTATTCGGGGGGCAGATTAGTCTAGAACTGTCTGAGGCGATGATGGTCGCACAACACTGTGAATAGAGTAAAAAACAAGGGGGGGGGGACATCAAACGGGTAAATAGATCTCAATAAAACCACCTAAAAAGATCTTAGGACTTGATAAGAAAAAAAAACACCCAATGTGACTTCTATTTTATTCAGTATTTTGGACATTGGCAACTTGAACAGAAACTGTGTGATGACCCATCTACTCATTCATATCTCATGGCAGCCGACTCACCTCGGGCCAGGGCTACGGGCTCTCACTCAGACCTATAACTTTTCACTCTCCAAGATGTTACTATTCGTCGGCTGCTATTAACCAGAAACCTGGCAACACCAGCCGGGAGCTTCTGCAGTTTGCACGCTGTGTGTGTTCTGGGCTATCTTAATGCAAGCTAGAGAGAAGGCCTCCCCAAAGCATAGAGGAGACATGCCCCCCCAAAGTCATCCAAGATGACTGGCGCATCAGAACCTCCGTCAGCATTGTCTTAAGCGCTGCAGATGCTGTACGTGTTATTAACTGCAGACATCAAAAATGAAAGATGATGTAAAAAAAACCCACAGCGACCGACAGCTGGAACCATCCTGCACTGGTAGGTTCCGTGCTAGGCCGCTGCGGTCAAGGGCATTGCACCAAGCTGGTAAGTGGGTGCGTGTTTTCTCAGGACACAAAAGCTTCGTCCATTCAACAAGCCTGCGCTGTGTGTTTACTGAGTGGATTAGCCCACCACGACCCCTGGGCCAGCCGGGCCCCTGCAGGGGTCTGTACGGCCCTCGAGCTAAGAGTGGCTTCATAAATGTGAACAGAGTGGGAAGGAACAGGATTCAATTCTGCGACACAAGCAAATTATGTGAAATTCGCGTTTCCGTGGTTCTACTGGCTCCCAGCCACCCCATGGGGACACGCGTGGTCTAGGGGTGCTCCGGGGCCGCAGAGGCTCGTGGTCTGCAAAGCTGAGCCGCGTCCTCTCTGCTTCCCTGACAGGTGGCACCCATGGCGCCGTGGTGGGGAGACACCGCAGGGGGGGTGAGGGGGACGCCCCGTGGCCCTCCTGGAGGACAGGTGAGGGCTGGCGCAGAGCCAGAGGAAGCGCCTGCAGGGCCTGCCAAGCCTTGCCCTTTGCCTCCGGCACGGAGCAGTGAGGCTGATCTATGGTCACGGCCCAAAATAGTCCAGGATGGAACAGGGACACGGAGCGCCGCGGGCCACCAGCCTGGGTCGTCACAGAGCGGCAGCTGCCGGTGAACAGCTCAAGAAAGCGGCACGTAGCAAGTATTGGTGGGGACGTGGGCAGAGGGAACCCTAGGCCTGGCTGGCGAGAAGGGGGACGGGTGGCTGCGCTCTGTTTGGCTGACAGTGCAGGCGTTTACTTCCCGTGGAAGGCAGCACAGAGGTTCTTTCAAAAGGTAAACGTGGAATTGCCATCTAACCCGCAGTGCCACTTCAGGGCACATACCCCACAGAACGGAAACCAGGGCTTGGGGCATATTTGCACACCCATTTCATAGTCACGCGCTGCCCAGTAGCTAAAGTACAGGCAACCCAAGACCCATTCCACCAGCAGGTGACTGGACAGACACCCGAGGCACGCGCACGATCGTCAGGGGCGTCCTGGCCAATGATGGACCGCTCGCCGGCGGGGTCGCCACAGGCCACACCATTTGGGCCTGGGTGTGCAGCAGCTGGCCGCCTACGTTGGACGTCCTACTGTGACATTGTGGAATGACAAAATCACCTAAGGATGCCTTTCTCAGAACGCATCTCCCTCATTGAGAGACACGTGATTATACGCGTGTATGTACATGTACATGCAGACATACAGGCGTGCGCTGTGGAATACTATTCAGCCTTCAAAAAGGCCGGGCGTTCTGACTCAGCTACAACATGGATGGATCTTGAGGACTGACGTTCTGTGAAATAAGTCAGACACAAAAGGACACTCACTAACCCACTCACAGAAGGGCCCCAGAGGAATCACAGCACAGAGACAGGAGTTGGGGGGGCTGCCAGGGCCTGGGAGAGGGGAGGGAGTTAGTGTTTAATGGGGGCAGAGCTCCAGTTGGGGAAGAGGAGGACGTGCTCGAGCTGGAGGGTGATGGTTGCACTGCATTGCGAGTGTGCTTTGTACCCCTGGGCTGTGCACTTAGAAACGGTGAAGGTGCTAAGTCTCACATGATGTGGGTTTTACCACAGTTAAGGGACAGAAGAATGAGAACAGTGTTAAAACATGAACAACTCACCCCAGTGTGCCCAGAACTTTCCCAGAACTTCAGCACTGAAAGTTCCTACTCGTGGGAGCCCCACCCCAAGCAACCAGGACACTTGGTCACCCTCATTCGGCCCAACACCTTGAGAAGTCAGCTTAAGGCCCGTGTCTCTTGGGCTCAGAGACACATAGACTTGCCTGATGCCACTCAGCAGAGCTGAGACTTGAACTCAAGTCTGTCCAATGCCACCACTGTCTCTAGGCCAAGAAGCATGGCTAGGTCACCCACCCACAGCCATCTGGCTTTCATCTTCCCATCCACATACCAGGAAGGGGTGTCTCGTTGCTTCTGGAGCCAGAGAACAGGGGCCCAGCCTTTCTCAAGGCCAGACGGTCCTCGGTTTGGTGATGAGCCACACTCACCCAAGCCTGACCCGCAGCCCCTGCCCTCCTGGACAGACCCCAGGACTCAGCAATGTACCCCCTCCCACTTCCACCACACACGACGTGGGTCTAGGTCCCGTCAGTGCCAGGGGGACTCTCCGGGCTCTAGGAGGAGACACCCCAAAAGCGGGCTGCCCAGAGCTGAGCAGGCAGCGCCAGAACCCAGCTGTGGCCGCCACTTCCTGCTGAGCCGTCCTCACACGGTGACACGCCACCTGCAGCCTCACCTTCCTCACCTGTGAGCCTGGCGAGCCTGGCACTCTTGCGGCTGCTGGCTTTGTAACCAGGGGTGGGCTGGAGCCCTTTCCACCCGGCCTAGACACGGTACAACTTACGGCTTTTTGCACGGAAGGAAACTGAGCCTCGAGGAAGCAGAGTCCCCAGCCGGGTGGATCGCAAAAGGCAAAGACGGGGACCCCAGTGAGGGTAACCTGGGGCCACTGCGTCTTCTGTCCTGTGCGGCACAGCTCAGGCAGCTCTGGCTTTCCCTGTCCCTGGGAGGAGCCCCCTCGGCTCCCAGTGCCCCCCACCAGCTCAGGAGCCCGGGCCCAGGGCCCAGCGCCTCTGGGACCCCTCCAAGGGAGCGTTGGCCTCCTGTCCTCACGAGGGAGGCCGAGGCCGGGCGCCCCTATGGCCACTTGTGCTGTGTCATCTCTACAGGTCTTCCTCATTTTAGTTTTCACTGAAATTTTTTGAAGGGGAAATTTTAAAGTGGTGTTGATGGGAAGACTGGAATTTTCTGATACGCATTAGAATAAACCACGTCACTACTAAAGCTAAGAAGGCTGACCCAAAGGTCACCTAAAATCCTCCCGGGTCACCCACCCACGTGCACCCGCCCTTCAAACATTCAAGGCCAAGATCAGTTCTCAACGTCAGGAAGGAATGATCCTTCTCCTCAGGAGACACCTGCGGATATCTTGCAGTGGTTGTCACTGTGGGGTGCTCCCAGCACTAAGTAGGAGGCATCAGAGACGCTGTTAGGCACCCCGTAGTGCCAGGATGGGCCCCCACGGAGATCACCTAGCCCCAGTGTCAGGGAACGGGCCTGCCCCACGGGCAGCAAATGGGCTCAAACCCTGCCCTGTGCCCTGGGGGTGCCTGGCAGGGGACACCACAAAGAGAAGGCCTTGGACCCAGCGGGCAGCCCGGCCTGGGCTCACACCCGGACACACGCCCCGCCCGCCTGACCATCCCGTGGCTCACTCCTCAGGGCCAAGTCATCCTCTGCCCACAGGGCTCCATCAGGCTCCAGCCCCCCGTCCTTGACCCCTGAGGAGCCCCAGCTGACAGGGCAGCCACCCCATGAAGGGAGGAGGAATGACCCCGCCTACCTGTGCGGCTGCTTAGAGGTATGGTCAGGTTTGCAGGGAGCAGAGAGGACGGGGTCCCAGAGGACCCCCAGAGGAGATCTGGCTCCTCCTCAGCTCCCCCAACTAAGAAACCAAGCTGAAACCCCCTGCCGGGGAAGACCTTACCCCACCCCAGCCCGCTGCCAGAAGAGGGACAGGAGAGCTGAGCCCCCGGTGGCCCACCAGGTCACGCGAGAGCCCAGGCCTTGTGCCCTTCTCAGATGTCCCCTCCGCCCTGGGAGGAGACTGAAACCTGCTGCGACAGAGCCGGGGCCCGGCGGCAGGCCAGGCCCATCTCCCGAAACCACCCCCACACTCAGATCCCCGCGCCACCCCAAGCATTTGCCACACACGTCAAGTAGCACTCAGCCGGCCTCTTAATCAGCACTTATTCTGCCCTCCTGGGGCCCCCACCCCCACCCCCACCCGCCTCCCAACAGGGCCAGAAGGTTACTTCTAAGGCCACCCCCAGCTCTGCCACCCTGTCCTCCCAGTGTCAGGCCCCTGGGGGTCTTCAGGGTCCACTGGAAGCCAGCCGATACTGGGGGAGGAAGGGGCCCACTGAGACGGGACAGCTAATGGCCTCAGACAGACCCCACATGCCTTGCATCGCTGTCTGGAGCCCCCAAACCTGCGCAGCTTGTACTGCAGAGAGGCAAGAAACGGCTTCCTCTGCTCCCTGTTCCCGTTAAGCTTCTCTGACATTCAACAAGGTCACAAAACAACTAAGTCTCAGGAGTAGGGGATCTGGCCCCTCAGAAGGAGGGGAGAGGGCAGGTGGGGGAGCAGTCTGGCAGCCCCAGAAACAGGGGCACCTTGATTCAGCTGACACAACAGGGCTCACCCCAGACGGGCCTGCAGACCTCCTAGCAAAGGGCCTTTAAAATACACAGTCCAGAGAGGGGGTGTCAGGCCTGGTGGGGCGGGTGGAGTAGGGAGGGCGCCCGGGTCTCAGTCCCCACCGGCTCACTCCCCGAGGGGTCACCCCTGTGGCCGCACCACCGCCAGACACACATGCACTCTGGGGTTTCCTGGCCAGGGGTAGGGGTCCCCGGCTCTGTCCCCTCCGGGACGGAAGGCCCAGCCCCTTCTCTTCCTCACTGCCCTCTTCCCCACTGGGACAGGCCCCCAACCGCCTGGGACAGTTAAGTGCCACCGAGGCTGTGTTGCAGACGTCCTGTGGATGGGGTATGTCGTTTTACCACTGTTCTGTGTCTCACTTTTCAGGCCGCACGGTGGGGCCAGGCAGAAGGACAGGGGAATGGTTTTGGTACTTACTTTTCTTTTTCTCTCACAACAGGGGGGCTAAAGTTCTCAGGGGCTGAAGGAGCCGCTGGGGGCCTCCGGGCCTGGCTTTATAGGAGCCGCAGCCCTGAGCGGGGGCGGGCAGCACAGCTATGAATAGCGCCCCTCCCCACGCTGCGGTTTCTTGCCCGAGTATGGTCAGAGGGCAGCAGCTGTGGGCCCGGCTGGCCGGGGCCTTCTCCTGGCACTGTCTGTGGCCCCCGGGCGGGGACATAACCGGCAGGGCGGCATTTGACCGATAAGGGACTGGTCACAGTCTCTCGGGCACTGAGTGGCACAATAACCCCTCAGCCCCCCCCAATCTGCCAGGACTCAGGCTTAGAGGACCCCTGGAGCCCAACACGCTCCTTTCCTTTGACCCCTACGCCACTCTAGGACCGCTCTTGCCCAGGGAAGGCCGAGCTGAAAGCAGACAGAAAAGAGGGCCACTACCCGCAGGAAGGAGCTGCCCCCCCAACCCCGCCCGGGATAAACTGGAGCCCAGGTCGACGACCCGTTTGTGACCATGTGTGGTTCCAGCCAAGCTGTGGCATAAGCCCTAAAGTTAAGGCTCATCTTACGTGCTGGTAAAACGGGGAGGGTCTCAAATGGTCTCGCACTCCGCGCCCCAGCTCTGCCACCCCTCCCGATGGAGGGACAGGGCACAGCCCGTGCAGCACCCCAAGTGTTTTCTTAATAAGCCAGTCACACCCTCCCTAGGGAGGCTCGGGAGGCCACCCTTCTGTGACCACAAGGCCGGCCAGCCGGTCCCCGCCGGTCCAAGCCCTTGGGCTCACCCTGTACCCGGTGGCGCCCCCGTGTGGCCTGGCTGTGTAGTGCACCGTGCCCTCCTGGGCAGTGAGTGGAATTGCAGTCCACTCATCTGTCCAGTGTCAGGTGTCCCCAGGGTGGGACTCCTGCCCTCTCTAACAGGGCAGCAGAGGTGACTAGAGCTCCAACCACTGACCCCGTGGCCCGCAGGTCAGCAGCACAGCCATGGACAGCTACTCTAAGCACCCAGCCCAGGTTCCCGGATCCAGGACCACCCCAGCCTGCCACAGCACTACCCACCCTGACGCCACCCTAATCCTTTAGCATTTCAAGTAGCAGACAGAAGAAAACAGACCCAGTGGAGGGGGCAGGGGTGTTCAGCTGTCCCGGGGTCAGGTCACAACTGAGTCCGAAGGGCCTGCCCAGCCCGAGGCAGCTGGCCACTGCTCCACACTGCCTGTGCCCACTGACTTCCAAAGTGGGACCCCACACGGCCACTCGGACCATGGCCACCTGGCATGTATCACCAACGCACCCTTTCGCCGGCCGAGCCCAGGGTTATACCTTCGGTACGGAAAAGCTGACTTTGTGTTTTACTCTCACATTGAGGGCAAACAGGATTTCCGCCACATCGAGCAACCCTGACCCTGATCTAGTGGCAGACCCCACAAGCTCAGGGCTTAGCCCCCAGGAAAGCTCCTGAGGGACCCAACAGTCACATGCCAGGCCGCATCCTGCCTGGACAAGGGGCTGCAAAGGCCAGCCGCGTGCCCAAGGGACAGCCACGCTGTCTGAGCATTCGAGGAGCTGAGATGGACTGAAATGTTGCAGCTCCAGGCTGTCCACCGAAAATAGAAAAACACGCGTTGATGGGATTGTCTCAACTTTGTTGAAGTAAAAGAAGAGAAACCTGCCCCTTGGTTTCTGGGAGGAGATAATGGCAGGGTAACAGCGCTATGGAAAGTCAGGGCCCCCAGAAGGGGGCAAGTACAAGAGGGGTCTCCTTTGGAGCCACATTCTGGGGGAGGCAGCAGGAGCAGCGAGGGGCAGCCCCCGGGGGCCCCGAGTGTGAACTCGCAGCTTCTGGGAGGCGTGAGAGGGAAGAAACCCCTCTGGGCCCACACTGGAGACCTGGGAGCTCCCATCCTGCTACACTTAAGAACCAGAAGCCAGCCAGGCCCAAAAGTGAGCAGCACCCAGGCCCCCAGCTTCCCACGGAGCCCACCAGACACAAGAGCCGAGACAGGCGCCACCTGAGGCCGAGCGAGAGCTGGGCGGCAGGAAGTGGCTTTATTTCCTTGGGGCTTCCCACAGGACAATGCTGCAGACGGGCGCAGCCACACAGGGCGCCAGTGGGGAGCGTGGTGGGGCCCTGGCACGGCCAGAGACCCTGCGGGGGTCTGCCCCTTCGCTCCGCCCAGGCTGGTTCTGTCCTGAGAACTCCGGGGCGGAGGGAGAGGGGGGCTGCGCCGGTGCCCTGCGAGGCTCAACCCCCTGCAGCGCAGCCACGGGCCAGCGCCCCACGCCGCGCAGAGCCCCCGGGCAGCCCCGGCGTGGAGGCACGGCCCACAGACCCAGGGCCCCGGTCTAGGGCAGCACACCAGAGTCCAAGTGCATCGAGGCTCCCGGGCTCACGGGGGATGACGCGCAAACCCCGAGCCTGCGCCCGCCCAGGGCCGGGGCAGGGTGCGGCCTTGGGGATCACAGCGCTTGCCCAGAGGCCCCTGCACTCCGCGGACTTGCACTGGCGTGGAGGCGCGGCACCAACTGCTGTGTGCTGGGCCACGGGCCCGACCCGGCCCTAGGCGGGCTGCTGCGCCCGCCGCCAGCCAGGTGTGTGGCGTTTCTGCAGCCACGGCCAGGTCCACCTCAGGGTGGCAGTGACCCTGGCAGTCCCCAGTCCCAGTCCCCAAGAGGCCTGCAGAGACGCCGAGTCACCGAGGTCAGCAGCTCAGCTGGCAGGAGACAGTCCGCGGGCCCAGACCGGCCGAGTCTTCCTGGGGCAGGGTCCCTTCGTCGCACCGTGAATTCCTAGGCTCCAGGGACTCACCACCCCGGGCAAAGGTGCAGGGGCCTGGTGCCAAGGCTGAGCTCCCCTTGCCCACGCCCCCAGGCCGCCCGCCCCCCCAGGGCCCTAGCGGAGGCCACACTCCCCACCCTGCAGCTTCTCCTGCTCCATGGCCCGCACCAAGTCCTGCACAAAGCGCATCTCGGAGGCCACCTGCTTGGCCAGGGCCTCGTAGCGGTTCTCCAGGCGGCTGAAGCGGCGTTTGAGCCCGTTGGCCCCCAGCAGGGCCCCCTTGGCCTCCTCCTGGGCCTGCCTCTTGAGCGCCTCGGTCTTGTGCAGCTCCTGCCGCAGCCGCCGCAGGTCCTGGCCGATGCTCTCGTGCTCCTCCCGGTACCAGGCCTCCTTCTCCTCGTAGATGGCCGTCAGCGCCTCGACGTCCTCGTGGAACAGGCGCCGGCTGTGCTCCAGGCCGCGCAGGCCCTCCTCCGCCGCCGCCACCTCCTCCAGCACCTTGGAGAAGCGCTCGAAGTTGATGTAGGTGTTGTTGGGGGGCATGCTGGAGTGCGACTTGATGGTGTACTCCTTGAGGCGCGCCGTCTTCAGGCGCCGCCGCTCGGGCTTCTTGCCGCTGTCCTCTCTGCGCACGTTGCGCCGCCGGATGGCCTGGGGGGCAGAGCCGGGGGGCAGGCGGTGGGAGGCCCGGCCTGGTCCCCCGCCCACCACACAGACCAGAGCCGAAAGCCCAGCTCGCTGGCTGTGTGGGACGCTGACCCTGGCCTGGAGCGGGCCCGCTGGGCAGTGTCCACGGGAGCCTTCTGCGAGGCCCAGGGCTCAGCGGGGCAGCGGTCTCGGCGAGGCAGCCCCGGCACCATCTCCGCGCCCGCGCCACCCCGCCAGCCTCAGGGGAGCAGCCAGCCCGCCTCACCTTGATCCAGGAATGCTCCAGGCTCTGATCGATGGTCATTCTCCTCCTAGAAGAAACCAGACCCGCGTGTGGTTAGCCGGAGGCTAACGGGAGCATCCCGTGTAAACCCGGGCTCTGCTGCGGGGGGCCATTGGCAATCTGGAATGTTCCGTGAATCCTACTTAGACCTTGGCCATGAAGTAAGCTTCCTAAGGCACAGTGTGTGCCAAGCTCGGCCTCCTTCCTCTCCCTCCAGCCCAACGTGGGGGTCACGCCCCAGTGTCAGTGAGAACAGAAGGGCTGGGGGGTACGTTCACAATCACGCCCCATTCTCACCCCTGCCCAGGGCCTGCTCTGAGCCCCTACCCAGCCCTGAGCGCCTACTTGGGGTCTTTGACAAGCAGCCGGCGGATGAAGTCCTTGGCCAGCTCGCTGGTGGTGCTGAAGTACTCCTCGTCGAAGTCGTAATTCACGGCCGAGATGTTGGTCAGCGTCTCCTGCTTGGTTTCACCCAGAAAAGGGGACGCGCCACTCAAGCTAGAAGAGGAACTTGGGGCTCAGGAGGGCTACCCACCCTGCCCTTCAGTGCCCATTTGGGGGGGCGGGGGGCGAGATGCAGAGGAGAGGTGGATGCTGGACCCCAAACCATGCCAGGCACCTGCCATTCCCCTGGTACCGCCAACCCAGCCAGAAGGCATCCAGTCATCGCCCAGGCAGCAACCAACACAGACCCGAGCAGAAGGTCTCCGTAAAGCTAGTAAGCATCTAAACTGACACGAAGTCTCAAATCCTCTCCCTGCGGTGTGTGGTGGTCAGTGGGAGGAACCGGAGTCCGGCGGGACTCGGCACAGCAGTGGGCGAGGCCGGCACCACAGGCCACCGCGGGCCTCCTGACATGAGCACCAGGGAGGCCGCACGCCGTGGGCCTCTGGGCAAGGGGTATGCGGTGCCCACTGACAAGCACCCACCTGCTCTTCACCCTCGCTCAGGGAGCCCCCACACCTTGCGGTTTCTCGACCCTGAGAACGAAGCAGGGAGCCTGTCTTGTTGTAGCACTTGGCTTAGCCCTGAGCGAGCAAAGCGACAGAGGCCGTCTTGCTCTCCCTGGCACCTCAGCCCACCTGAGGTCACGCTAACATGGTGACGGCCAGAGAGCAGCTAAAGATGGCGGCCGCAACCAGGCCTGGGGCTAGCGGGGTGGAACTTTCAGCCCCGCCCCTGACCTCCGAGGAAGGGAGCGGCGGGAATTTAATCACCAATTACTAATGATTTAATCGATCATGCCTTCGTGATGAAGCTACCCTAAAAGTCTCCGTAGCGCGGGGTTCAGAGCTTTGGGCGGTGGAAGCATCCACGTGCCGAGAGGGTGGGGCCTTCCAAACGCCTCCGGGACAGAAGCTTCTTGCTGGGGCCCCCCCACCTCCCCCAGAGCCTCTTCACCCGCTGCCCATCTCTCCTGTACACTCGGGTCCACTGGTAGCTGGAAGTGAAGTTTTCTGAGTTTTGTGGGCAAATTATGTAAACTGATCAGGGGTCGCAGGAACCCCAACTTGCAGTAGGTAGACTGAAGGCACAGCGACGGACGACCTGGGCTTGTGGCCGGCTTCTGAAGCGGGGCAGGTCTGTGAGACCAGGCCTTGAACCTCGGGGGTCCGGGCACCTCTGGGTGGCTGCTGTGGGACGGAGTGGACCCCTCAGCCGGGGGGACCCCTCACATGCCCAGTGGCCGGCGGCACTGGCGGTCCCGAGAACAGAGCCGTGAGGGGCACAGGGAGCCTTTCTCTGCGCAAGGACAGCAGGAAAGCCGTCTCGTCAGAAGCAGGCACAGCAGACCCAGACAAAATTCACAGACACAAGGCGAGACAGAGGAAGCGTCCGGAGTAGAGGAGACTCAGCACAGCAAGGACCTAGAACGGCGTCCCGCAGCCGAGGCCGGGAGCTCTGCCCGGCTTCCACACCGCGGCGTGAAGCCTCAGCTGGCGTCACTTATCAGTACTGGCGAAACTTCTGTTTGTCAGAAGCTAACTTTAGGGACGCAGGGAGAGGGGGTGAGGGAAGGGGCTGCGAAGCTTGTACTGGCTTTGCAACCCTTAACAAATCTGAAGCTGCCTCAGAACCAGAGTGAACACAGTAAACTGAAACTGCTCAAAAACCCATCTCCAGAAACCTGAGGTAGGTGCTGTGGGGCAAGGCCAAAGCCACGCAGCGGGGGAGAGGACCTGGGGCCCTGCTCGCAGGAATCGCCCTGGACAAGCCCGGCAGAGGTGCTCGAACTTCAGAACTCTCCAGAGGCACCCTCTCCCCGATGGCACCCCTCTTCTCCTCCTGCACGAAGGGATCCACTCCATCAGGCGCTCGCTCTTCCATCCACCCAGAACGCGCACAGGATTGCGGGAGGCCAGGGGGCTGGGGGCCCCGCGAGGAGCAAGGGCCCTGCCAGAGGGCACTGTCCCAACTCAAACCTCGCTGACCCAGGGGCAGGGAGGGGCCGGGGAAGCACAGGCCGGTACTCACAGGATGTAGGTGATGACGCCGATGCTCCTACAGAAAGACAGGCGAGTCAGCACCACTGTCAAATGGAAAGGGGCACCCCAACCCCAGGTTCTCTACAGAGCCCAGCGCAGGGAAGCCAGAAACCCAAGCCTCTCGAGACAGGAGAGATCGGTCAGCCCTGGGGACACGAGGGGCCCTCCACCCGCCTGCCGTCCACCGCTATGTTGAAGCCCTCAGAGGAGAAAACCACTCCTCAGCCCTGGGCCTGGTCTGTGCTGGCATCTGCCGACCCCTGTGCTAAGGCATCGGTCTGGCCACACCAGGGGCACGAAGACTGGGTGTCCCCAGTCTGTGGCCCGGAAGCTCCTGGGGATGGCAGGGGACGTCCCTGAGAGGACATGTGTCCTGGCAGCTGCGCCAGTCCCCGCCACTCACCACATGTCTGCCTCCAGCCCCAGGGGTTCATAGTTGACGATCTCGGGAGCTGTGAGGAAGAGACAGAAGCGCACCTGAGGCAGCGCTGGGGACCTGGCACAGGGAGGGCACCGACCCCCGCTCACACCGGGCCGAGACGGGGACAGCACCAGCCTGAGGCCTGCAGCTCCCACGCGCCCAGCACAAGCCGCGGGGGAGCCAGGCGAGGCATGGCCGGGGGGTCCGCTAACGCTCCCTCGATGACCCCAGCCCCCGAAGCTTACCCACAAACTCTGGGGTACCAAAGATGTTCTTGAACTCATTCCCTGCTTCAATCTTGTGGGCGATGCCAAAGTCAATGAGCTTGATCCGTGGGTTGGGCACATTCTTATCCAAGAGCATGATGTTCTCTGGCTGGGATGGAAGGTGAATTGCGCTGCTCTGTGGGCACGGAGCTCCAGGAGTAGTGCCCCCCTCTTGCCCTGGGCACCTCCCACCCCCAGTTCGAGGGGTGCAGCCATGCCCCAGAGTCCGACCCTCTCTCCAACCCACATCCCCCAGCGCAGCCCGGCTCGGCTGCCGGGGCCCAGCAGGTGGGGCTCACCTTGAGGTCAAAGTGGGCGATGCGCTTGGAGTGCAGATAGTGGACGCCGTCCAGGATCTGCTTGAGGAACTGCGTGGCCTCGTCCTCCGTCAGCGACTCCTTCTCCGCCAGGAAGTCAAAGAGCTCCCCGCCAGACACCAGCTCCAGGATGAGCACCACGTCCGTCTTGTTCTCGAAGATGTCGTGCAGCGTGATGATGTTGGGGTGCCGGATCTCCCGCAGGATGTCCACCTCCCGCTCGATCTCCTCGCGGCTGACCCCGCGCCGACTGGAGGACAGGCGGCGCTTCTTGATGAACTTGGCCGCGTACTCCTTGCCGGTGCCCTTCTGCCGGCACTTCCGCACGATGGCAAACTGGCCGCTGCGGGCGGAGAGGACAGTGAGGGGCTCTGGGCAGCCCAGAGCCTGGGCCGGCTGCTCGGGTTCAAATGCTGACCAGCACACAGGCGGGATATGGTGCACCCAGAAGGCACATTTACGCGTGTGGGGGGAAAACACCTGGAGATCCGAGCCAAGCCGCTGACCACGGGCGTCTCGGAGGGCGGTGGGGGGCTGGCGCGGAGGACTTCTCACTCTGGCTGTGGCGTGATTCTGCGCTGCCTGACCCTTACATCGCCCATGTCACGTTCTCAAAAACAAAAAGGCACTGACTCCCACGGCCTGTGGTGAGGACGCGGTGCTTCGGGCGGCTGTGGGAGGCGACGCCCGGAGAGGCAGGCCCTCCCTTCCCAGCACACGTGTCACATGGGCGTGGAGGGCACCGTCCCGCCTGAAAACACGCCTGACTCTAAAACAACGCTGCACTCTCAGTAGGCGGCGCGGCAGGCCAACGCCGCCAGGCAGGAGAGCAGTGCGCAGGTGGGTCGGAGTCGGGGACCTGCCTGGCAGGCCGGCGGGATGGGAAACGGGGCCCGGAGCGGCCGGGGGAGCTTTCTCAAAAGACTAGAGAGTCAAAATAAACTTTTTAATAAAAAAAAAAAAAAAAAGACTAGAGAGTCGTGATGTGACCCAGCAACCCTATCCTAGGAACACACCGAAAAGAAAGAAAGACGCCTGCAGAAGCCACCTCCACACGAAAGCCTGTGCTAACACGTGCTCACGCAGCGGGACTGCTACAGGCGAGAAGTCCGAACGCCCATCGTTAGATACGCAGATGAGCAAAATGTGTCCATCCCCACCCGGACACCACTGGCCGTGACAAGGGGGGCAGCCCGACATTTGTCACCACGGAGACGGGCCTGCACACGCGTGCGTAGCGAGGGAAACCAGACATGAGGCCACGTGGCTGAGTCCACTGGAGAGAGACGTCCGGGGCGCAGCCACAGCCTGGCAGTGGGCTCATGGTGCCGGGCTGGGGAGCTGGGGGGACGAGTGCTAATGGGGGTGGGTATTTTCTGGGGGAAGAAGGAATGATAAAACCATTCTGGGATTAGATAGTGATGACTGCAAAAATCTATAAATATTACAAAGACCATTAACTTGGCCACTTTAAATGAGTGATCTATGTGGTACATGGATTATATCTCAAGACAGCTGTTATTTAAGAGCAAGAACTTCTATTCACTACACTCCAAGGAGCGTCAGTGTTCAAACTCTTTTGCTGTCTAAAAACTGAGATTAACTTTAAGTCTGGAGTTGACTAAAAAAAAAAAATAGTTAAAGCTTTAAAGGCCACGTGGTCTTTGCCACAGTGGTTCTCAACCAGGGTGACATCTGGTGATGTCTGCAGACCACTTTGTTGTGGCGGCTGGGAGTGGGGAAGGCCAACTGCTGACACCTCGCTGGGTGAGGTCAAGGTGCTGTCAAATGGCCCACAGTGCCCGGGACACAGCAAAGAAGCATTGGGCCCCCAGTTAACAGTGCCAAGGCGCAGGGGATACCTGGCGGGAAATGGTGTTCTGGTCGTAAGGATGCAGTCCTCTTCCAAGACGGGGTGCATCCGTGTCCCTGGCCAGGGAGGGCAGGCAGAACTGGATGTCTACCTCTGGTTCTAGCACACTGGACTTCAGATAAATATATGAACCTGTTTGGTCACTTAGTTTGTGTGACCTTGGGCAAGTCACGTCCCTCCTCGGGGTCTCAGTTTCTTTATCTCAAAACATGGCTAAGATGACCCCAGCTTGCTGGTCCTTTGGCAGATGAGCAAAAGCGACGGCCTGGAGCTCACGCTCCAAACATCAGGGATGTATATGAACGGGCATACCGCGGAGGGTGACACGGCAAACCCAGACGCTGCCACCTGTGCCGTGGCGCAGCCTAATGCGCCCACACCGGTGACGTGGACGGAACACCGCCACAGAGCCCGTACCACAGTCGCTGGCGCATGCAGGTGCCAAGCAGCCCCCATTTAAACAGGCTGTGATCATTTAATGCAAACCAAGTGTTATGACAAGTTTTACAACAAAAGAGTCGGTAAAATACTTCATTAATAGTTACTACAAGGCCTCCCTGCTGGCACAAGGGGTTACGTCTCAGCACTGTGAAGCTGTCGGCAGCAACTGCAGCACGAGTTCGATCCCCGGCCAGGGAGGGACCCACAGGGTGCAGCAGACCTCGCCTGTCTCCCCGCTGCTCCCCTCAGCAGTGTACTTTGTCCATATAGACTCAGCAATAAGCTGTAAGCTTTCTTTAGAGGGTAGAGGGTGGAGTGAAGCTGCATTTGCTACCACTGAAATTGCTTGAAGAATTTCAGAATCCCAAAGTGAGTCTGAAACATGCTCTCTCAGCAAAGGCCTGACACAGAGCTCAGTTATTTACATTCCCTTCTGGTGACATAATGGGACTGGCCAACCAGCAGCAAGCTCACCAAATAAGGTTTGAGGCCCATTGGTGCCCGCCTGGTATGAGGCGGGGGAGTTCCCAGGGGTTACTACAGGCCTAGTTAGGCAGGAAATCAGCTGCCTGGCTGAACAACAAAACCTCCGCTTTTTCCCACAAGAATGCTAAACAACTGGCAGGGGTGTGGGCCCCGACAGGATGCCTTCTGGAATGATACAAGTGCCTCCCACAAGGGGCAGCCCTTTACTGACAGAAACTGCTAACATCTATTGTTCTCGGGCCACCTACCAGGCACCAGCTTAAATGCTACATGCACTTAAGTACGGTTTATCCCAAAGACAATGCACAGAGCATGAATTCACAGCTCCAAAGCCCAAACTTGTTCCACCAGTACTCACTCCTTCCTGGAGAGTAGGATGAAGGACAGAGGGGAAATAGGTTCAGAAAATCCCACAGTCCTCTCCCACCCCCAGAATCCCATCAGAGGGGACAGCTCACCTGCCCAGCTCCTCCCCCATTTCATAGTGGTCTTCCACATCTTCCTGTCTAAATGTGGACATGATGGCTGGTCTGCCTTCCAGTGCCTTCCACTCCAGAGAAGTCAATGTAGTCTTCGGACAGGACCTTGGGGGTTCCCTAAATACAGAAATAGGGAAGGCAGGGGGCTGAGATTCCAGCCATTCTCTGAGGTAAACCGAGCACTCTGCTCACCAAAAATAGGTTACACATCACTCTTACAGAAGGCACATACATATGTCAGATGCGCGACTTTCATGCATCACCTCATTTAGACATCAAACCACCCAAAGGGTCGGGGTCAGCCTCACAGCGCCATCTTTGCACCCGTAAGTCCCACCAGGCATTGCTAGGGTTCCCCCATGCACTACTCCAGTCTTTCCTACCTGTCCCTCCTGTTTCTCTCAATTCACTCATCCAGTGCTCCCACACATTCCTGCAGGCCGCCCCATACTCTCACATCCCTAAACTGGGGGGCTCCCTCATTCCCTGCACAACTTCACTAGTTCTAGTCCCACGACACTTCCACCTTCCTGTCCATCAGCTCCTCCAGGCCCTGCAAGTCCTTACCGACTGCCCCAGCATCCTTTAGACCTAGACAGGTCTCTTGAGATCACCTTCAGCAATGTCCTCCGCCCAATCCAGAATTCCCCACCAGTGGACACCACGCTCCTGCAGGCTCCCAACCCCTGCTCGTCCCCCTGACCTCCAGCGTCCTAGCAAGACTAACCTCCTCCTCCTGGAAGTCAGCTCCCAGAAAGAACATCGGAGGCTCTTCCACCCCTTCGCCCCCAACCTCCGCTCAACCTCCAAGCCGGACCCCTTCACAGATCTCCTCCAACGTCTCCCCCAGCCTGAAGTCCCAGCAGAACAGCCCCGAGGCTGCCACGCCCCTCGCTGGCCTGGGTCCAGTCCCATCTCCCGCCTGGGCCATTCCAAGGGTCTTCAAACGTTCCCCCACGTCACCAAAGAGCCCCTGCAGTGCAGTCCGGCTCACCCCCAACCCACCAACCTCGGACCCAGCCCGTGCCGCACCCTCCGTAACCCCGAACACCGGGTCGGCCCCTCAATCAGTCCAGCGGCCAGCGCGTCCTCCGGGCCCGCAGCCTCGGCCAGCTTGCCCCGTAGCCCAGCGCTAACGTCACCAATCCACAGTGCCCGCCTCCGGCAGGCGCTTCCCGCCGGCCATTGGTCGATGAGCCCGCCGCTCATGTGAAGCCCCGCCCCGACCACGTTCCAGGCTGCGGCACTTGACTTTAGAACCGGAAAGCTGAGGTTGGATGCCGCCTTCCCATTGGTGGCCTCCCCTCAGCTGATTGGCTGTAATGGGCGTCCGTCAAGCTTACGGAAATCGGGACGTCGACTACTTCCGGCCCTGGGTGGAGCCACCCAATCTCCTCTGACCTCGGTCCTGAACACTGGGAGGAGAGATGATGTAGTCACCGCCTTTCCCCGCGGCGTACCCGAATCAAAGGTCAGCTCCCGTGTGGCACCTCCTGGGTAGATCCCGGAGCAGCCTTGGCCCCCGAATGGCACTGTCCTCCTCTATAAAAGGTTGTCCACGTTCCAAAGTCATAAAAAAAAGTGCAAATGAGGAGGCGCTGCTATTGCTACTTGAGGATCCTTGTGTGACTGCTGTACATCCCACGATAAATGAGAATTTTTTAAAGACTTATTTATTTATGCATACAAGAACTGGGGTGCAGGTCAGAGGTGCGGGGGGGGGGTTGAGGGGACTCACCAGAGACAGAATGGGGAGCAGAGGAGCAGAGCAGTGGACAGGTCAGGAGAGGTCTGCTGCACCATCTGGGTCACCTCCCTGGGCAGGGATCAAATTCATGCCGCTTTGCCCATAGCTTCGTGTGCCGCGCTCTTACCCCTTGTGCCGCCAGGGAGGGCCGAGAAATGAAAAATTTACAGCTAGCATTTATGGAGCCGTAGTGTGTGCCAGCCGACAAGGAGGTACTGTATATTCCTATTTTCCCCATTCTACAGAATGGGAAGCAAGTCCAGAGAGATTAAGTAACCCACCCAGAGGCACAGAGCAGGTCAGTGGCATAGAGAAGATTCACTCCTAGATGTGTCTGAACCAGAAGTCACTGCTGAACCATTTCAAGTGCCACCAGTCACAGACTGCAGGCGTCGCCTTTGCCAACCACCCTAACCTCAGTGACCCTCGGTTCATTCCACTCTAACCCCGTTTGCCTTACGTCTGATCTCAAACAGTTCATTCCTGCACCAGGTCCTCACATGAACTGTTCCTTCTGCCTGGAGGTCACCTTCCCTCATACCCCGTTCCTATGGCACACTTCAGTTCACAACAAAAACAACATCTCTGCCATACTCCATACCGCTAGTCCTCCCTACTACTGCCTCTTGTATTATAATAATGTAACACGACACCTTACATGTCACACCAGTACAGTTATGTCATTAATTTGCCTGTCCTCATTTCCCCCCAGTGCTCTTTTTCTGTCCCCAAACCCATCTGGGGTCACACACATTTAGCTATCACATCCCCTTAGATGCCTCTTGACTAACATTACAGACATAACATTATCAGACTTCCATTTTTTGACAACTGACAGTTTGAAGAGTATTGACCAGGTATTTTGTAGGATTTTCTTTAGTTGGGATTTGTGTGATGCCTTCCTAGGCATTAGACTGGGATGATTGGTCTTAAGAAGGAAAAACACAGGTAATGTGCTGATTTCATCTCATCAAGGATCCCTATCAAGGACATATTGATGTATGGATGACTTATCACTAATATTGATCTTGGTCACCTGGCTGCAGGTGTGCTTGTCAGCTATCTCTACTGTAGCTTCCTTTTTTTCTCTCCCTCTCTTTTCCAGGCTGTAGTCTTTGGAAGAAAGTTACTCATCCTTAGGAATTGGAACACCACTTCTATGTGATAAAACAACTATAGTAATTGAAATGGCTATATGGCAGGCATTTTCTCAAAAATTAACAAACTGAGTGAGTGTTGTGGAGCAACCTGGTGCAGGGTGGGCAGGTGGGCAGTGGGGCCAGAAAGTTTAGGGACTGGCAGCCTCTAGTGAGTCCTGAATTCCTGTGAGCTCTCTCTGGCATTCTCTTGTGGTCTCACTGCTCCTGCAGTCACGCCTCTCATCCACCCTTGTAGCCATCCAGGTCGCTGAGTGACGCCACCCCTATCCCTGCGCCCTCCCCCCGTTCAAGTGCACACACTTAGGCAGGCATGCACACTCTCACACCAGGGGGCCACAGTCAGGCACACCTGACCCGAGCCCAAGCTCCCAAGTGTCTTCTGCATCAACACAATCAGGGCCACAGGTGACAGGCCACAGGTGACAGGCCACGGAAGTTAGTGGTGCAAAAAGCCCAATTAATTCACATACCCTTCACTGAGTCTCTTTGAGCTTTGAGCTGAAGAATCTGAAGACATTAATCTGAAGAGCTACATAAACCCCAATGTTCATTGCAGCATTAGTCACAATGCCCAAGAGTTGGTAATAACCTAAGTGCCCACTGATGGATGGATGGATAAAGATGTGATTGATATGTCCAGTGAACCCCTGCTCAGCTATAAAGGAGACTGAACCTTTGCAACAATGTGGATGGACTCAGAATACTATACTCAATGAAAGAAATCAGACCAAGGAAGACAACACTGTATGATTTCACTCACATATGGTATATAAAGAAATAAATCAAGAACAAACTCAAGACTCTAAGAACAAAATAGCGGTTAGCAGGAGGGAGGAAGTGGGTGCCAGGGAAACTGGGTAAGTGTTATCAATTGTAGAGTGATGGATGAAAACTAGATTTTCAGTGGCAAACAGAAATAAATACATACAGATGTTGATTTATAAGGCTGTATACCTGAAACTATCACGGAACCCATGTTACTTCAATAAAATTGTAAAAAAAAAAAAAAAAAAGCTGTGGGCCCTCCCTGGTGGCACACTGGGTTAGGACTCAGCACAGCAAGCAAGTGGCAGCCCCTTCAGTGTGAGTTTGATCCCCACCACTAGGTGACCCACATGGTACAGCAGACCTGTCCTCTCTCCCAGCTGCTCCCCTCAGCAGTGTACTTCTTCAGTCGACCTGTTCTGCTCTCCACTTTGTCTCTGGTGAAGCCGCTCACTGCCTCTGCACCTCTGGCCTACACCCCAGTTCTATATGCAGAAATAAATACATCTTTGAGAAAAAAAAAAAGAACTGTGAAGTTTTTCCCCCAACACCAAAGACCTAGGGGACTTATGGAAAATGGGGGAGAGGCCAGAGAGGCTCCACACAGGTTCCTAGATGGGCAGACTTGTTCCTAACATCCTGGACACCCAGTGCCCATCACTCCTGCTTTTAGTGCTGACAGGTTCCCCTACATTTGTGACCACACAGAATGACCCCCACAAATTTCGTGTAACTCCCACCAAAGGACAGAACTACTAGTTTAGCGAGACTGATTAGTACTGCATTCTGGGTATCATGTACTCAAGGAAGGTTATGAGAGCCTCTAGTAGAAAAATGTTGGTCCTTTATAAATGGTTTAAAGTTAAAATAAAAATGAGCAAATTGTATTAAAAATGTTAAAGAATGTGGGCCCTCCCTGGTGGCGCAGCGGGTTAAAGCACTGCACTGAGAAGCTAAAGCCACTTCCGCATGAGTTCGATTCCCGCCTGCCCCGGAGGTGACCACATGGTGTGGCAGACCTCTCCTGACCCACCCGCTGCTCCCCTCAGCAGTGTGCTTCGTCGATCTGCCTGTTCTGCTCCCCACTCTGTCTCTGGTGAAGCTTCTCACCGCCCCTGAGCCTCTAGCCTGTACCCCGGTTCTGTATGTACAAATAAATAAATCTTTAAAAAAAAAAAAAAAAAAAAAGTTAAAGAATGTAAGTTAACTCTGCTCACATTTTTGGATAACAAATTGAGTTGGGTAAGAGAACATGTCTGATGAGTGCGGCTGGTTATTAGTTTTGTGTCCCTGTCACCAGGGCCCTGGCCCAGCTGCTCACTGCTGGGAAACTAGTACTAGGGAACAAGAGGGGGTGGAATGAAATCAGTTTCCTCAGGAGCCAGCACCTTAAGATGGTGGAGTCTCAAGACATCTGGTCTTTAAAGGTGCCGTGTGTGGTGTGGCCAGCAGCTTCCATGCTGTTATCTTGACTCACAGCACGGGCCACCAGGCTGTTGGGATGGGATGGCATCCTTTACCAAGGCGAGGGCTAGTGATTTTTGGACTCAGCTAGTTTTGCCTGGTTTCCTGTAGTTTTGTCTTTATGAATAGATCAAGGGTAAGAAATTCATGGTTACTGAGCCTGGTGACAACTCCCTATTTGTATCCTGCTCGTTATTTTTTTTGTGTGTATGGAATTGTGGTACACACCAGAGGTGTGAGATTTACCACAGAATGGGGAGCAGAACAGGCAGATCTACTGGTAAGACTGTTGAGAGGAGCAGCGGGCAAGGATGGTCTGCCGCACCATGTGGGTCAGCTCCCTCGCAGGGGACAGAGCTCAGGCCACAGTGGATAGCACCTAAGACCTAACCCCTAGGCCACCAGGGAGGGACTCCTGCTACTCATTTTTGAGGGGCAATGGGCTAAGGTCCATCCTCTTGAACAGCTTCTTCCTGAGTAAGGGCAGTGGTTTGGGGGCCTATTCTCAACTTATCCTCAACTGGAGGTATGATTCACTGTCACAGGGTCATAATCTCAATTGTTTATATACTTGAGGTAAAGATCAAGATTCTAAGTTCAGGGCAAATATATGGGCATTTAAGTTTACTGCCAAGTACTGGGGTAGGTATGTGTAAAATATGGTCTTATTAAATAATTTATAGAGTTTTGAATTACAGCTGATACACCCCACCTCTCTTCACTGTCCCCAGCCTGCCCTGGAGCTCAGCTCAAGGTTATGGATTTAAGCCTCTTCCAGCCTGTGCTGTCTGTAAAAGCAATAAAGATTAAAAAAAAAAAAAAAAAAGGCTATGCTATTTTTTATGCGTTAGGGTCTGACTTTAGGCTTGGTTTCAACTATCTGGTGAAACTGCGGGACCAGGACTCTGCTAATTGTTGGATTCTCAGCAAAAAGGGCTGGCACAGAAAAGCATCTCAAGTTGTTGAATGAATAATGCATTCAGTAAATATTTGGGAGAAAAAATTCGAGAGCCCCTGAAAATACATTCCAAAGACGCCTTCTAATGACTTTCATTAATAGCAGCAACTCAACATAATTCACTAAATTCAATTTTTATATGCCATGCACTACGCCAAGCGCTCAAACTATTTAAGTTAATGCTCAGTTCTTGGGCTGCCCTGGTCTCATTTCAAGCATTCTGCAGCCACTTGAGGTCAATGGCTGACAGATGTAGATAGAGGGTTGTTGCAACAGTGATAGAGGATCAGTGTCCATGGGCCTTTTGACCCCCCAAAGTTCAGGACTGACCATTTCAAACTGAGACTTGAGATCACTCTGGACCTGTGCCAGAGTATCCCTGCATGCAGGCACATCACAAAGGGAACCTAGAGAAGTTGCACTGACACACAAGTGGTCACCACCATGTCAAATTTATTATTCCAATGGCACTAATACAGCTGGAGGTGCTCATGGCTGACACCACACACAGTTTCCTGCCTTCTAGTTTCTGTCCAAAAAGAAGCACCCCCATTCTGGGGAAATCCACTCCAGGCCATTACCCAAATAAACCTCTTAATGCATTTATTTTAATTTTGTGAACAGGTTTCTCTCTGATGAAGGAAAAAAAAAAGTGTTGGTTGGGTGTCCCACCTGCCTCCCCACCACCAGCCAAATTGAGTCCCTACCATGAGGGCATTTGTTGCCTCTGAAATCCTGAAATAAATATCGAAAGAAATGGCATCAAGTGTTCACGTTGAGCGATGGCACGGAGCAGCTCCAGAACCTGCCAGGCAGGACAGTCCCAAGGTGTCATGAGAATGCAAGGGCTTGTTGCGTGGTTGAACATCGGCTGGGTGTGGGGCTGTGCCAAGTCCCCGGGGCAGGTCGCCTACAATTTGTCCAGGAAGTTGTCCAGGGCGGGGATGCCCTCCTTCAGGCCTTTGCGCTTGCGAGTCTCCGCCACCACCTGGCTGGGGCGGCTAGTGTTGTCGAAGGGGTCTCCAGGCAAGATCTGCCAGTGGTCAAACACACACTGGGGGAAGGCCTGGCCACCTGTGTTGGACCTCAGGTCAGCAGTGAATCCTGCAGAGAAAGGGGAAGGGCAGAGGTCAGCCACCAGACTCCCCAAGAGTGTTTCCTGTTCCTAGGGCCATAGCAGAATTCAGAGACAGGTGTGATGTAGCAGCGTCTGAGGGTGGCACTTACCAAAGGACTCGTTGACAGGCAGATAAGCTTTCACGACAAACATGGGAGTTCCAGCCACCTGGGATTCCTCGAAGACGTGGCCACGCTTTCTGTTCAGGACACCGTAAATACCGCCAACCACTTGTTCTGGACACTGTCAAGCAGAGATCAGCTATCAGCAACCATCTGTCTAGCAGGACTGGGTGCTTGGAAGCGGGCCAGCTACCCCCTTACCTGGATCTCCACTAGGTAGATAGGCTCCATAAGCCGGGGCTGGGCAGTCAGCACGCTGGCGTAGAGGCAGCGCCGGGCTGTGGGGATGATCTGGCCACCTCCGCGGTGGATGGCGTCAGCATGCAGGGTCACATCATGGACGTCAAAGCGCACACCCCGCATGTTCTCCTCGCACAGTGCCCCCTGAAAAGGAAGGGGGGGTATAGACCAGCATTAAGCTCCAGGAATAGCACTGTCACTCCCTCTTCAACTTGGAAGCAGAACAGGTGACTTACTATAGTTCGGGGGTCACGCCGCCTCCACCCACAGGTTCTCAGTGTGAGATCCCACCCGCTCACGCAGCCTCTTACCTCCTTTGTGGCCCACTGGAAGCCGGCGACCACGCTGTCCTTGATCTCATTGAGGTACTGCACACCTTTGGTGATGTCAGTGAGGATGTTGGGGCCAGTGCCGTCAGGTCCAAAGCACCAGATCTTGCGGGCCTCAGCCACATCCCACTCATACTTCTCAGCTAGGTAGCGAGCCCGCTGCTTGAGCTCCTGGCGGGCAGACACTTCGCCCTTGTCAATGTCCTCAGCCAGGCCATCGGGGAAGGGTCGGGCCTTCATATACAGCCGATTGTGTTTGTTGGGAGACTTGGACAGGCAGAGCACATCAGACTCCTCGCTGACGGTCTCACGGTACGAGACCACTGGGTCAGATTTCTGCAAAAGGAAGCTTAAAGATCAGGTTTGTCCACAAAAAGGGATGTAAAATGTCAACACTTCACTCGACAGGAACTGGCAACTAAGTTTGAGATTCTAGTTTTATCAACGAGAATAAAAGGTGCAGCACAGTGGGCAGAGATGAGCCCATCACATGTTAGACATTTTAATGTTAATTTGTCAACCAACAAAAAGAGATGAACAATTATAATAGAAAAAGGCACAAAATGATATAAAAATAAACTGTATTATTAAAAACAAAAACAAAAAACAAAACAGATGAACAGACTTGTGAGATGAGCTCCAAGGAGCTCAACAAGGAGGGAAAACAAGGAGGGAAAATGTCTGAGGACATTATCAGTGCTGAGAAAAGCAAAAAAATTACACCAGAGGCCAGTTACAAGACTCAGGTGCCTGCTACTTAGAACCTTCAAATTGTCAAGTTTTAGACAAAAAGCAGGCCTCGCAAACCTCCGTCTCCCACATGTGAACTACTGGTGCTCTACCAGACAGGAGAACTGAGCCTGCCTTGTCTCGAGTGTCTGCAGTGACCGCACACAGGCTCACCTTGATGGGAATGCAGGCGTGGTCCTCCTCCAGGTCCTTCAGGCAGATCTCCAGGTGCAGCTCGCCAGCTCCTGCAATGATGTGCTCCCCAGACTCCTCAATGATGCACTGAAAAGGGCAGAGTGTTAGTCCTAAGTGCTGGAGAACCAAGGGGTAGAGAAAAGGAGTTTGGAAAGCGGGTACCAAGCTTCCCTCAACCCCAAAGAGATCCTGTCAGTTAACCTGCCAACCAGTCAAGACTGGATGAAGCCTGGGCACCTGGGCAGAAATTTACCCATGAGTAGGGGCAGCAGACCCACCAACCAAGTTGTGGGCTCAGCATAGATCTGACTTTCCCAACACTTAGAAACCAGTCTTCCCAGGTGAGCTTTACCATACAAACCGTTTCCTACAGCCCATGCATGTTATAACCTCCTGCCCACGTACCTGCACCATAGGGTCTGACTTAGCCAGCCGCTTCAGACCCTCCACCAGCTTTGGCAGGTCAGCCGGGTTCTTGGCTTCCACGGCTACTCTGACGACAGGGCTGACACTGAACTTCATCACTCGCATGTTGTGGGCATGCTCAAAGGTAGTGATGGTGCCCGTCTTCACCAGGAACTGGTCTACGCCCACCAAGCCCACAATGTTCCCACAAGGCACGTCCTCAATGGGCTCCACATAGCGGCCCATCATCAGGATCGTTCTGGGGGAACACATAAAAGATGTCAATGGATCATCAGGTCCCAAGATTCCTGAAAGGATGGAAACCAAAGCCTCCTGCCACTGGGGCTGTGGTCACCATCTGTCTGCCTGAAGGGGTGATGCTATTTCTGCTGGGGTCTCAAGCCCTGGTCCCCACTTTTTAACTTGTGCTCTAACAAGAGCCCCATGGGACTATATACCTGACCCAGGCCTGACTAAACAAGTACACTGAGGGCAGGTGAGAGCACGGTGGGCACCCACGGTCCTCAGCACAGCCATGCTGAGGAGCCGAGTGTGGCAGTTGTCTCTCCCTACCTGTGCCCAGAGCAGCAAGCTGCAAGACATGTAATGTCGAGTTGGTGCCAGCTCTCTGGGTACACAACTGAACTGTGTTGCCGGGAATGCAAGCATTAACTCAACTGGGGAGCACCACTGATGTAGAGATGTCACCTAGACAACCCCCTAGCTTCCCCAAGAAATTCACTCATCCCTATGTTGTAAAGACAAAAATGAAATGGCTGGAGCAGCTTGGCACTACAATGAAAAGGCAAAGACCTTGCCTTGCTTCTAACCTTCCTAAAGCCTATGTGTTGGGATGGAAAGCAAAAACCAACTCCTATTCTGAGGACCAGGTGTGCCTCACCTCTGGATCGGCTTCAGGTACAGGTCCTCTTTCTTCCCAGGTGTGTAGTTGGGTCCCATGATCCTGACCTTCAGGCCAGTGGACACCAGCCCTGAAAAGACTCGGCCAAAGGCATAGAACCTGCCTTTGTCAGAGGTTGGCACCATTTTGGAAATGTACATCATGAGTGGCCCTTTGGGGTCACAGCTTTTAATCCCTGTGCGGGAGGAAAAATACACCGAAGAGATAAGGGTTATTTCCTATCAATTCCACCTTCCAGACCCACTGACCTGAGGCTTGGCAGTGAGGCTTCCAAGCAGTTACTGGTCCTCAGGACCTTTGACCTGCAGTCGGAGCCTGAGCTTAAGCCACCCCTACCTACCCATGGCAGCCTCATCATCTGGAGGCCCCTCATACAGGAGCTCGCAGCGGTACTTCTGGGCCGTCACGGGGGAGGGTAGGTGGATAGTGATCATCTGAAGCAGAGCATCCCCAGCGGGCAGCCAGCGGCGCATTACAGCCTACAAAAGGAAAGATGTGTGTGATTCCTCAAAGCCGCAGCCCTTCCTGAAGGGCAGTATGCACTGCTTTGCTCCCCGCCCGCACACTGGGGCCACAGCGATAAACTTCCAAGAGTAAAGACCCAAGGACCACAAGCCCCATCCCAGGCTACTTTTCCAAGCTGACTAGGCCTTGACGGGCCCCCACTCACCTTCAGCAGCGGCTTGCCTTCTTTATCCTTGTCTTCACTGTCCAGCTTGATGTCCAGCTTTTCTATCAGTTTTGCAGTCTCCTCTTTCTTGAAGTTCATGATTGCATCAAACACCTGATGTCATGGGGTGAGCAAACATGTTTGAAATATTGTTATGCAGCTGCTTTCTCAAAAAACCCAATGCACAGAACAGCAAAAATCCTCACCTACTCCATTAGTGAATGGTCTAACTGGTAGAAGTCTCCAGAATAACCAACATATAGTGACAATAGAAAATGGGGAAAACAAAATTTCTTCTAGCTCCCAATCAGACCACCCTATAGCAGGAAAAACTCAACAGCAAAGCCCAGACCTTCATCTCATTTTACCTAAGCATCAGCCAGTTAACCTGACTGCCCCACTGTGTGATCAGGCATCACAGACATATTGAGGTCAAGACTGGGGGGTGGACATGCTGTAGTCTCCTGCCCCTCAAGCACTTCAGAACATCACTACCCACAACCCCTCACCATTCTGCCAGAGCAAAGCCATTTCAGGTGACTAGTCCTCCAGGCGCACCTCACCTTGAAGATGGGGTCCAGGATGAGCTGACAAAATGTGCGGGGCAGCTTCTTGCCATCAGGACTGGTGGCAGACTTGCTGAACTTGCCATTGGCTGGATCAAAGTACCTGGGAAATAAACAAAAAAGTCAGGGGGATCTCAGCGAGATGAAGGACCAAGGATAGCCATGTGCCCCACGGCCACTGTGGCTGAGCTTTGTTCATAAGCACTACAGCTGATCCCCCAACTTACCGGTCACCCCACAGCTTCTTCATCATGTCCTCTACTTTCTTGGCCCGCTCAGCGGGCCCCAACTGGCCCTCACCCTTGGCAGCAAACTTGGCCACATACATTTCTGCAAACTGCTTTAGGGTAAAGGCCCAACCATGCAGACCTGACCCGAAGCCAACAGTACCGAGAACTGGGTCAATCTGAGGGTGAGAGAGAAAACTGTTGAGTGGTGGCAGTTGAACAAAAAGAAAATGCAAACAGGAAGAGCCCTGCACCTCAGACACTGGATTTCTTCAGTAGCCATCAGGTCAAAGTGAAGAAATTTTAGTCATCATATACAGGGTCCCTAATTCTTCCTCCCTTCCACCAATGAGGGCTGGGGATGTATATTCAACCCACAGGCACGGCCTCTGAAGCCAATCAGGCAGCCTCCAGCTCCCCCAAATCAAATCAGTGTTACAACCTTTCCAGCTTTTCCGTGCCACCTTCAGGTCCTAGCAAACTCAGATCCGCAGAGCCCTGGGACAGTCCTTCCGGGCCGTGAAGCACACAGCCAGCAGGCAAGGGAGGGGATGCTGAGAACAAGGCAGGTACCCACCATGATGTTGCCCATGGGGCCACTCTCCCCCTCCCCATAGGTGGAGATGATGACATTGACGTTTTCCACGATGCGCTGGAAGGTCTGGTAGAGCTCCTCAGGCTCCAACTGCAGCTCAAGCAGGGCTCGGTCCATCTTGTTCATCATGAGCACAGGCTTGATGCGCTCAGCAATGGCCTGTCGCAGTACGGTCTCTGTCTGCACACACACACCTGGAGACAGGCACGGGCAGGTTACCTCCACCAGCCGTAAAGAACAGAGCCAGTCTGAGGACACACGCAGTCTGCAGCTTACCGGACACGCAGTCCACCACGACCAAGGCGCCATCGGTGACTCGGAGGGCAGCTGTCACCTCTGAGGAGAAGTCCACGTGCCCAGGGGAATCTATCAGGTTGATGAGGAAGCCAGAGCCATCCTTGCTCTGCTTGATGAAATTCAAATCATTCTCCGAAAGCTCATAGAAGAGAGAAATAGCCCTGAGGAAATGGAACAAGTCAGCTTCAGAGGAGCCCTACTTCAGCCTAACGCGTGACTTACCTCCCCAGGTCCTGGGGCCAGCTCAAGGTTCCTGTACATGAAAAGTCCTCGGGGGGTGCCCTAATCCCCAACGCAGGCTAATACATAACAGACACTGCAACCTATCTCCCTCCCAATGCCTTACTATTCCCAGCTGAGAATTCCCATTCAGGGCTTCTGTTGCCTACCTGGTGCCAGCCACAAAGGTGAGTCCCCAAATTTATCACTTGACTCTAATCAGCAAGTGCATAGCCAGAGAAAACCCAGACATCCCAAGACTGCCATTCCCTCTTAATCTCAACTGTCCCTAAGCCTCCAGCTAGCTGACACGACTCTGAGTCGATGACCAAGGACCGCTTCACCAGATACCAACTGAGAACAGGCAGTTACTCTGCTGTCTTCTACCTACTCACATCTGGTCAGTAGTCTGTCACAGGCTATCCCGTACAGATGTCCCGGCCATACTCTCCCCAGCTTTCCCTAAGTCTGCCCCTCTCCAAAGAACGCTCAGATTAACACTGTCCACCCATGTACCTTTCCAAGTTGGTAGGCACCCATCTCACTTGAGTGAACCAAACCTTGCCCCAGGGCACTAGCCCTGAGAGCTAATTCTCAGCAAAGTGTCCCCACCCAACCAGGATTATCAGCCTTCCCCACCCACCAGGGAGACCAAAGCTCTTGCTCCAGGCAATCACCTCCCCACCCAGCATAGAGAGCAAGAGTAATGGCTCACGTTGACTTGATGGTGATGCAACGCTCCTGTTCATCCTTCCGGGTGTCAGTGAAGCGAGTTTCCCCAGCCCGGGCAGAGGCAATGATGCCAGCCTTGCACACCAGGGAGTCGGTCAGTGTGGACTTGCCGTGGTCCACATGGGCTATGACGGACATGTTCCGGATGTTGGCCTTCTTGTCCATGATGGCCCGGATCTGGTCTACTGTGAAGTTCACCTAGGTAGGGGGAGGGAGGCTCACGGAGTCAGAACTCCAGGAACCAGGCTTGGCACAGAGGTCCAAATCGATAGGAATTGCCAGGCTCCTAGCCAGGCCTATGGTGCTGGGGGCAGCCAGACTCCAACCCAAATACCCCTGAAACCCGTTGAACAAGGCCATCGGTCACACCGACAGGTTGGCCCTTCACGGTGGCTCAGAGATGACACCCCTATCGGGCTGGGGAGTAAAGCTCTGCGAAACGCGTCTCCCTTAGATAGCACACATTCAGGGGATGGGAGAACTCGGGGAATTGCGGGGTCAACTCCCCCCAAATCCCTTCCGTGTCACCACCGAATCATCTCAGGCTTCCACCAACCTAACAGCTTCTTTAAAACCCAAGGTCACACTCGTGGGCATGAGGGGGGAAGTGTCAGGAAAGAGCCGCCCACCCCAGGAGAGCCCCCAAATATGCCAGCTTCGTCGGGGAAGGGAGCCTGCGCAGTCCTAACGGGCGCGAGCCTCCACCTCGTGGCTCCGAAGTCAGCTTTGCCATTGGGATGTACAGGGAAGGCTTAGAGTAGGCAAGACCACAACTCGGGAGGAAAGCTTCTTCACGCCTGCGCTCCTCGTTTTGCCAAGTCTATGCCGCCCACGGCCCCCGACACAAAATAGAAGTCTCGGCCGGTAGATGATTTTACACAAGGCAGCTCCCCTTTCCCCCCGCGGCGCCCGCCATTACAGCGTCTGCCACATCATCATACCCCCCCACTCCCAGTCCTGCCGCCAGGTCCCAGCTTCTGCCAGGTCCGGGACGCCGCCAGGCGGCGACGACCCCGGAAGCGGAGAAAGGGGGTTGGCGAACAGCGCGGCGCGCAGACATGGCGGCGGTCGCTTCCGCAGCCCCCGGCCCGCCGGTTCCCCACATCCCTCCCCGGCCCAGACGGCCTCAGCGCTTCAAGCCCGACAGGGCCGTCCCCGCGGAACCTCTGTTGCAGTTCCCGGCTAGCAGCCTAACGGCGCTCCTCACCATGGTGGTGGATGGCGGTGGATTCTCACAGGCAGATCCAAATGAGGTTAGTCGCGCCGAGGATGGCGGCGACGACGGCGGAAGAGAACGCTGACGTCAACACCCGATCTTTTATAGGCCGACGCCGGTTGGGCGGGTCATCTGATCGCACTGCGGAGGCGGGGCCAAACGACGCCTAGCGCAACAACGCGGACGTCCTCCCCCAGTTAACCCGTTAGGCGCCGGCGCTCGGCTGTAAAATATTGGGTCGATTTTCTCAGACTTGTTTTCCCACCGGCGGGTGTCGGCTCCCTACTGGGTGCAGACCACAGGAATGCAGTATTTAGGTGTGCCAAGCGAAAAGAGGTCCGTTTACCTGAGCATATTAACAACTACTCCATTAGCTCGCAAAATTCCAAGCACTTCTATTAAAAGTACATAATAATGTGAATAGGTTCTGTGGATTGAATCAATTTTCCATTTTTGAAATTGTTATGTAAGATGATGGCACTGGGAGAAGTTGGGAGAAAAGCACTTGGATATCTCTGTACTATTTTTGAAACTACATGTTTCTAGCCATTTGAAAATTAAAAAACTTCAGAAAGCAGTTTGGTCATTCATTCTACAAAGGCAGGTGGGTTGTCTGCTATACCAGGAACTGCTATAGGCATTGGATATTAGCACTGACAAAACACTTTACTAGCTCCACCACGTAGCCTAGTTACCCAGGCTTCTCTGTGCCTCAGTTACTCACTTGTAAGTGGGGGTAATCGGTAACTACCTCACAGTTTGGGGGAGAGTAAAAATAGCTAAATACATGTAAAAAAGATTAACGCTGTGCTTGACAGCTTTCAATACACGTTAGCTATTTTAATTTGCTATTATTGCTATTAATGACACATTTATTTCAGGGACTGGTTTGCGAAGTCTGGGGCGCTGGGCTAAGCTCTTCTCTTCATGCGCAATATCATTTTCTACTTCATTTTCTCTCCAGGGGTAGGCGCAGGAAGACTGTTTTGCATTTGTGTCCTAATTTGACCCTAACAAACAGTTGTATATCAAATCTGTGGCCGCAGGGAACAAACTGGCATCCAATTCACTATCTTATTTTTTCTGAAGAGGCCAGTTCACTGCCTGGTACATAGTAGGCACTTAGTAAATATTTCTAGCATCGACAAATAAACTTTCTTTGGTAAATCTTTCCTTGAACTCTGTCAAAAGAATAGCGGTGCTTTACCTGCAATGAGAAAAGCAGAGATGTGAGTCTACAAAAAAAAAAAAAAAAGCAAATTAGGACCTGGACTCTAAAATAAACCTGTGCACTCTTCTATTAAATGCGCACGCATTTTGCTTTGCAAATCTGTGCACTGCCCTGATTTCCTTTAATCAATGATCGCTATCACGAACCCGCGTTTAAGCTGTGGGGAAACCGAGGCAGATAGAAGTTGCTCAATAAACATCTACTATATGGGTAGAGGTTAGAGAAGCAAGAAGTGGCAGACAGCAGATGTCAGCGCAGGGCTTTGTCCGCGTCTTAAATACCTACACCTGTTTCCTGACACGTTTTGTTTTTATAAGCAATGCGCAAGCTCCTTATAGAGGACGCGGTGTTTTGTCCCCCCGCCCCTAGTAGATAGGGGTTCATTTTCCCATTCTTACCTTAAACGCTAAAAAAAAAAAAAAGTTAGATGCACTTGAGCACCTACTGTTTGCTGGGCTCCGTATTAGTCACTTCGTTGCACTTCCTTGCAAATTGGGGGCATTTCAGGGATGAAAAGCAAAGGTTTTCTTTAAGAGGGGATAGAATTTGCGTTTAGGAGAATCGGTGATTTTATGGAGAAATTTTAATTTAGTGTAAGCTGAAGAAGCGGGGGGGGGGGCAGTTTAACGCGAACAGTGAGATTTAGGGCTTCCTCCCACATCCCCCGTTACCCTTCTTGCGAGATGTTAAGCCTGATAGCTGCGGGGATGCAGCCTACTGTAGGCAGTGTCTGCCTCTTCCCACCGCCATCCCCAGACCCATGTTTAGCAGAATCCTGGGAGAGAAGTGGGATTTCATAAAATAGCAAAAGCTGCCACAGCCAAGTTCCGGGGTCTGCAGTAAAAAATACAACCGATTGGGGGAAAAACAATTGGAGCTGAGGGAGTCACCTCTGCAGGAAGCCTCAGTTGCGCATGCGCCCGCTGCGGTAGCCGAAGGACGCGGAGACAGCTGCAGCGGCCCCTGCTGACTAGTGGCCGACACTGCAAGCCTCTTGCCGCTGCCTTTTGATAGTGTCAAAGCACTTAGTATAGATAGATGCTGGTCTCTGCTATTTAAATCAGTTAATTTTCTTAATGCTCCCCCCATTTTGGGTTTGGGGTCGGCTCGTTTATACAAGAAGAAACTGCAGTTCAGAGGTGACTTGTCCAAGGTTAGACAGACAATTGGAGCAAACTAAGTGATTCGAAAATGCATGGTTTAGTGGTCTGTCCCTTTTCTGGAATATTATTTTGCCCTAAAAAAGAAAGACATCTGACACGTGCCACAATGTGGATAAACCTTGAGAACATGATGCTTAGTGTAACCCATCAGTCACAAAAGGGTAAATGTCTCTTTTGTGGAGGTGGAGTGGGGAATGGGATCAAAAAGGGGGAGGGAAGGGAGGGAAATGCTCGGGACTATGGTGGTGGCACAGGGGTGATTTGGTGATGGGAAACCCGCGAGGATTACAATCGAGATGGGAAAAAATGTGCAAAATGATGTAAAAATAAACTTTGTAATAAAAAAAGTACAAAAAAAAAAAGGGTAAATGTCTCTCATATGAGGTTCCTAAAGGAGCCAAATCCCTACAGACAAAAAGTAGAATGATAGCCATCAGAGCCTGGGGAAGAGGGAGAGAAGTTAGTGTTTGGTGGGGAGAGGAGTTAGTGTTTAATGGGGACAGTTCCAGCTGGGGAAGATGAAAAAGTTCTGGAGATGGGCGGTAAGAAAATGTGAATGCACTAAACTGTACACTTAAAATGGTGAATTTTGTGTTACGTATATTTTGTCACAATTATCAGAGGCCTGGTTTAATTGGGCTGCAACCTCACTCCACTACTATTTCCTAGATATATTTCAGATTTGGTTAACAGGAACCAGACATCCTGAGTTTAAATTCCAGTTCTTCCCTCACTAGCTCACCTGCGTTCACACCCACACTCCAGGTGTCCACAGTGAGGCTCACTCATTCCCAAGAGTCTTCTGCGTTGACACGATCAAGGCCACAGGTGAGAGCCACAGAGGCTAGTGACGTAAATGCCTGATTAACTCGCTCACCCTGTAGACAGACTGGCAAGGGCTTGTTGACACAGAATTCAGCTTTTTTTTGTTTTTTTCTGAAAGTGCCAAGTAGAAAACCTTCAATTTTGGGGGGGGAGGGGGTGCACAGTGTGGCGACAGCACCCAGGCAGTTGAGACAACAGGTACAAAATAAAACTGTATTTCTAAGCACCAAGATTCAGAGTTCAGACAACTTTCCCTTGACATGAACACGATTCTTCTTTTGATTCCCTCTCCCCAACCATTTGAAAATGTAAAAGCCAATCTTAGCTCACTCTTAGGCACACAGAACACAAGCAGTAGAGTGACAGGGCCTCTATGCTGTCCCTTCCTGAACCCATACTCCAGAAATTTATCATCCAGATAGGGACAATTTGTAAAGTTTTGATTACAGTTTAATCAATATACAAAGTACTAATCAAATGTTTAAAATCTGATGACTTTTGCAAACTACACATGCCCATAACCAACATAATGATCAAGATACAGAATAGGATCAGTCCCTGCACCCACAGACAAGCCCCTTGGTGTCTCTTTCAATCATTACTACCCCCAAGGTACCCGCCATCTTCATCTTGTCTCCTAACACAGATGGGGGGAGTAGCTTTGAACTCCATATCTGATGAGTGATACCATATGGCACCTTTGGCATCTAACATTTTTTTTCTTTCTTAATTTAATAGACATTTATTCCTTTAGTCCAACAGCCATTACCCAAAATCAAATTATATGATTAGGTTTTTCAGGGTGGAGAAGAAATTAAGTCTCAGGAGGTTTTGAGCCTGGTACACGTCATTTTGATAACATTTAATATATTTTTGGGATTTACTAACTTATGCACACAAGAACTGGAGTGTAGGACAGAGGTGGGGGGTGAGAGGATTCACCAGAGAAAGTGGGGAGCAGAACAGGTAGACTGAGGGAATGCATTGCTGAGGGGAGCAGTGGAGAGACAGGAAAAGTCTGCTGCACCATGTGGGTCACATCCCCGGTCGGGGATCAAACTTGTACTGCAGTGGCTGCTCATAACTTCATAGCGCTATATCTTAACCCTTTGTGCCACCAGGGAGTGCCAGAAAACATTTAACATTTTAAGACCCCTGAAGAAAATAGAAAAATCGCTTCAAAGGCTCCAGCAATTAAATTTTGGAATCAAATATTCTTAACTCAGTAAACACAGAACTAGTAAGGATCAGAGTGATTCTCTGCATTTTCAAGACACCCAGGAGACAGAAGCCTCATCTACTGCAAGACGTGATACAAACAGAATAAATTCAACAGATAGTGGTAGTTAGTATGTGTAATGATCAGCTGGGCTGTTGATGGTCTAACAAGTTCATGGAATGGTAAGGATTTTTGCAGGTAGTTTGAGCAGGAATGAGAAACGTAACTGTAGACAATACTTCCAGTTAGATGGGAACCTGTGAACCCATTACTAAGTTTTCCTAGTAGCTGACTGAGTGGGCTGAGACACTTGGCCCAAGATGACCTGTAAGATTGATTGGAATGAACAGTGATGTACTTTTAATCAAGCCAACCATATTTTCTCCAGTTTCCTACTGGCCACAGATTAGTCTAACATATAGTATTAACAAATGTTGGTCACAGTTGACATACACTTTGTCTTCACACTTGAAAGGGAAACTGATGGTCACTGAGTTTCTCAATCCCTAGCATTGAACTCTAGTTTTATAATCCTAAAAGGATAATAATTTCCTTCTCAGTGTTCAATTTGCATCGGTTTCAACACAGACCAGTGTAAATACCACTACTGATCACTTTGCACAAAATACAGGATTCTACAAATTCCATGGAGTCAT